CGACGTAATGATCGTGATCTTGTTCAAGAACTTATTCCTGATGCAATAAATAAATATAAACAAGAACTAAAACAAAAAGATCTTAAAATTACTATTGATGAAAAAAATTTCTTACCTGATGATTCGTTCGTATTTGATTTAGTATTTCGAAAAAGAAATCAATAATCATATATTATTTTTAGAGCTGGTGGTGTAGAACTTTATGCCATGGGTGGAAAAATCAAGGTATCAAACACGATTGAAGCTCGACTTTCAATGATATTTAATCAAATTCTGCCTGAAATTCGAGAAAAATTATTTGGTGTCAACCTAAACAGAAAATATCATGACTAATCTATATTATCTTTTCTATAAATATTCCAATAATAGAGCACAACTTGACATCTTATGACAAAACTATTATTTTTAATCAATTTCGAATAAAAATGTATTGTATGTGTGTATATGTCTAATATCGAATATAAATTTATTTTATTTATACGAATAAAAATAATCATGAATATTTAATTTTACTTTTCCTTTCTTCAAATTCTTTCATTTATTTTCAATGAATGAAATACAAAGACAATTGTAGAAATATTACAGAATCAAATTCATTTGTTGAACAATCTTATTGATGGATTTAATTTGTAAAAAACATGTTGTTGTAAGTCAAAACTAATAATGATGTCATGTAAAATAAAATATTAATAGAAATACATAAAAGAAAAGCAAAAGCATTGTATACAATAATACAATCGAGATATTGATTTTTGTAACGTAGTACTTCAGTTTAAGATAAAAATGAAAACTGATAGATTTCATATCTATTTGATGAATCAAATCAAAATCCTTACACAAAAATATGCATTCCTCGTCGAATATGCACGATCGTATACAACTGCTATAATTTATAATTCAATAAGCAATATGCTATTTTTATTTTTGTCTACAGAATGAATGGGAATATGAGTAGGACACAGCTGCACTCACATCCACATCCTCAATTCTTTCACTTATTTATGATGAAAGAAATATATAATAACAGAAGAAAAAAATTATTATTTAAAAAATGTCAGAAGTTTTTGTCCTTTTGTAACAATCATTTTAATTTTATTATTATCATTGATATTCGTCATCCAAATCATATTAATTATATCAGAATCAAATTCATTTGTTGAAATATTAATTGGTTGTCCTTTTGAATCAATCATTAATCGATATGTACTTCCAACAAACCACGATTTATAAGGAGACCATTCCGAAAGCCATACATCACGTGTCCATCCATTGAAACGAAAACCTGTATGAAGTTTATGTAATGATGATGAAAATATATCCACACGCCATACACCATTCCATTCAGCAATAAGTAAACCAAAAATATAAGAATCATTATTTTTGTCTTTCGATGATCGAATTAAAGCAATATCTTCTGATACTGAATCACATAAATGTCGTCGTTTCCAAATACGTTTTCCTTTTGGATATGTATCTAAATATTCACCAAAACGGTATAAAATAAATAAACGTTGATCATTTGTTGAACAAATAGATGACATTGAACGATTTTCTTGTAATAAACTATAATCATTTATTAATTCTATTTTACCTATTGATGGATTTAATTTATAGAGACATGTTGTTGTAAGAAAAATAAATGAATCAAAATCAGATGAATAACACATATCAACTAATAATGATGGAACATAGAGACACATTATTTGATTACAATTATTATTGAATAAACGAATTAAAGGTCGTGGATATTCATCATAAGTGACTATAAATGATTCAGATGAAGTAATTAAGGGTACAAATGAATGTTCTATTGCATATTTTTTTACAGGAGATACTGATGCAAATAATGACATCATCTATAATGAAAAATATTTTATAAATTATTTAAAATAATATTTTATCGAATAGAGATTGTATCATACATATGCATGTATTAGTTTATGCCTTACTTTTTAACTTTCCTTGTGAGAAAATCGTTAAAGATAAATATTAATAACGATCGAAACGTGACTAAGAAAAGAAAAAGAACTAACAAGTTATCCAATCTAATATAGAAACTGTTATACCCAATCCTATATAAAAGAAGAATTATTGATTTATTTGAATGATCAAAATGATCAGTTTTTTATTGAGAAAAATGAAATGAACTAATTACGGTTAGTTTTATTATCTTAATTTTCTAAGTTAAACTAGGAGTTGTAAGAAATACTGTTAATTTATTCCTATTATCTTGGCCTTATTTACTTTTTTATTTTTATTTTTGCGATTATTATGAATATATTATCAGATTTCATCCTTTGCTTTTTTTTAGTATATACAATTTATATGTAAAGACATTCTATATCTTCTTGCTGAGATATTTTATCATTGTCTTGCAATGAATATATGTAAGAATGGATGACTCATTTTTTCTTTCTATTCATTTGTTTTTACTAGTTGTACCTTTATAAATCTACTACAAAATATGAAAAATTTGGTTTCGAAGAAAAGTAGTTTAGTAGTTAGAATAAAACCTATTAATAAAAATGACAGTTTTATACTGTACCAAATTTTATTCGGAAGAAACTTTTTCAACTATGATGCAGTTAAATAGATAAGAATGATAAAAGTAGGAGTAAAAATAGTCATGTTGGAAAAATAATAATTTCTTCATCTTAGTATTATGCATAAAAAGTGTCATCTAGTACGTAAGAAAGAATTAAAACTTCCAACATGCCGAGATGGTCATATATATAGTAGGTGTCAATTCATCGAAAACTCTATGATTATTGTTGTGTACATTCATAACTAATTGAAAAACTCGAAAAAAAAAAATGGGAAGCGGCTTTAGTGATATGATTGGTATCGAAGCAGCTGGAACAGAATTAGCTGATGCTCTGAAAGTAGCTGAAGCTAATGCTACTGGTGAGTTACGCAATGTAATGTTAACGGGTATTAATTATGTCAAATCATTCACGCCCGTAATTAGCTTAATATTTGTTTTCCTGTGTCTGCTTCTGCTTGTTTCTATTTTGACTTTATTAAACAAAATGCTGGACGATCTTGGCACATCTCAACCCATTCGTAAGCTTGTGGTTCTCATAGTGTCTAGTCTTCTTTATATCTGGTTTGTTGGCATTCAAATCGCAGCTACAGTTAAATTGAAAACCATATCTACTATCATTATTGCAGTCGTGGCTGGTGTGGGCTTACTGGTGATTGTCTTCTTTATAGGATTATTTGTTTATCGAAATTGCTTTAGTAGAAGCCCGAAGTCAACGCCAAAAATCAATGATGATGATAGTTTGTAAAAGCATTCTTAATGACCAAAAAGAAATACTATATTTGACGCTAAATTTTGTCAATATCTACTTCTCAACTTGTTGAGAATAGTTATGTTCTAAGTTTCTTTTTTTTGTCTTTGATGTATATTTTCTTAAATTAATTTAATTGTATATAATCAATCATAATAATTTTTACATGTTTTTTCTTGTACCTTTTTCATTCAAGATAATACCACAGATATATAAACATGATGGTATCATATCTTGTAAAAACTATTCATATCATGAAGATGAACCGTCGTAATTTTAAAAAAATATCATTTATTTTGTCATATTAGTTACATCTTATAAAACATGTAATACATGACTACTCTGAAATTCTCGTAAATTTTCTACTAAGGATGACAGTTAAGGGAAGACGATATTTTTACGATTCTTACTTTTCATAAAACACATTTTATTACGTAGTAAAATAACAGTGCTGTCTGATAGAGACATCTCTTAGCATCAGAATGATTAATACATAGATAGATTATTTTATAAAAAATAATAAAACTGTCTGTTATATATTTGTTAAAATAGCAAGATAATGTTTATCCGATAAAAATATTGGTACCATTTATCTGTCCAATCTCTATTCACTTTGATAAGATTAGATTATACATTTACATTTATTTTTATTTAAGAATCAGTTCGTGTTAAAGAAAAAAATGTCAAATCTTCCGGATAATTATCAACCGCCAGATCCACATTCACTACCAACTGGTCCATTGGATACAACGACATCATCATATGGTTTTTCACATACAATGATTCGTATAAAAGATCCTCATGTTTCACTGGATTTTTATACACGTATACTTGGTATGACTCTTGTTCGTGTTATGTCAATGCCTGCTGGTAAATTTACGAATTATTTTTTATGTTATCCTCAATCAGAAGTACCCGATAGAGATAATCATGATCAATTAATGAAATGGTTATGGCAACAACAAGGTATTCTTGAATTATGTCATAATTGGGGTACTGAGTTACCTGAAAGTGATTTTCAAGGTTATAAATCTGGTAATGAACCTGAACACAAAGGATTTGGACATATTTGTGTATTTGTTGATGATCTTCATAAAGCTTGTGGTCGTTTTACTACTTTAGGTGTTCGATTTAAGAAAAGACCTGAAGATGGTCAAATGAAACATATTGCGTTTATTTTAGATCCTGATGGATATTGGATTGAAATCATACAAAACGGTTCTGGTGATAAAGAAACACCAAAGCAATAATATTCATTTATTATTATTTTTTATTAAATAGCATTCTTTTTTCGAGAAATAAATGAAAAAGAGAATACTTTAAACGGACTATATTAAAATACATAATTTGTATTTGAAATTAATTTGATAAAAAATTCTATGATATTATCTTTTCGTGTATTATAATAATGTCTCATGTATCATAAGTAAAAATATAAAGCAGAAAAAAAATCATCAATTTCTTAATTTATATAATCATTCTAAATGGAATTATAAAAGAAATTAAATTAATATTTCTAATTGTAAAAGACAGAAGAAGAACAAAAAACAAAAAGACGTTTATAAAACTATGCTACAGCAAATGAAGTTCCACGTAAATGAGCAATAGATTGTGGTGGTATAATAGTACTTCGATGTCTAACTAAACGCATTCGTACAATTTGTGCATTTTCTTCTCTTTGAGATTTTGTTCGAAATAGATTAAGAAGTTGTCCAAAACAATATAATTGAAAATAACGATAAAATAATTTTCGTATTTCACTACGAAAAGATTTTCCACTTAGACAATAAACATAAAAATTTAATGAGCAATTAATTAGTATAACAACACTTGACCAATATGATAAAAGCATATCGGATGTTGACCAATGAACAAGTGTTGCTGTTACTGATGAAAAACAAAATAAAAATGAATGAATTATTAAAACAATATTCATCCATGATGTACGTGGACGATTATGTACCATTAAACCATCAACACCATCTTTAACTTGAAATGATGTACGATCACTTGGACGGGCACTTGTTGATGCACCATTTGCTGATAAAAACGATGCTGATTGTACAACATGAGCAATAATTCCAATATCGAATCCAATAACGAGTATAGATGGAATTATTTCAGAAAATATTGAACGTAATGTTGTATAATTTAAACCAAATCGAACATCATTTAAAAAACTACGCCATGTTGATGAAACTGATTCTTTTAAAGAACATACTGATTGATATGAATGAATATTTGTTGAATCTCCAATTTTATATGAATATCTACCATATGAAGAATTAGTTGATCTATGAAAATAGATTTATTAATTGAATTAAATCTTTATTGATAAATACCTGAGTAATGTAAGATTTTGTAGATTCGGTACAGATATCAATATTGGTTGATAAAAATAAACAGTTGGTCCAGTAAGTGCTCCAATAATAATTAAAGAAATAAATGTCATAAAATAAAATTTATATCTTTTAACAAATGGATGATTTGTAAATAAACTATAATTGATTGTTACATAAGTAAAACGTTCGTATGTCCATGCAACAATAACAAAAGCTGATAAAATACGTAAACAAGATGATAATCGATATATTTTACATTTCAACCATGTTTGACCAACACTATATGTTATCCAACGACGAGTTTTCGAATGAAAAAGTAATGAATAACGAAATACACATAATAGATTTATAATTAATGATGCTATTGCTAAACGACCATAAGTTGTTCGACGAAATTTTCGTGATGAAAATACAATAATACCAAGAGTATTTCCAAGTGTACCAAGAATGAACATTATTACACAAATCCAATCAAGTATTTCATTTGCTATTTGACGATTCATATCATTCTATCTACAAACTAAATATTTATACATATTATACTTATGAATATAGAAAAAAAATATACTAAAATTTTATTCTATGAATTATATCCTAGGTCTTTGTCTATTATTAAAAATGACTCATAAAAATACAATGAATCGTTTTCTTTTACTATTTATTATAAAACTAATGTATTCTAAGATATTTTTTGAATGTTGATAAGAATTTTTATATTATTAATATCTATTTTTATGTCATAGAGTACGAATATAATCCTATCAAAAGAGATTTAACTTATTCTTCAATACGACGAAATATTTGTTTATTAAAACTTAATCTATAACAATATTTTCTACATGATGAGAAAGGCAGACTAATATGAATATGATTATAGCTCGAAAAAATATATATATAAAGATCATTTATCGATGCTTATCAAAGATTGAAGGATTCAGAAAGAAGAAATATTCTTCTTTTTTTTCTATTTCAACGATCAAAGTAAATATCTAATCTAGCTAAATATTCTAAATCTAATTACGAGATTGGATTAGTAATATGCAATCTTGTGAATCATTTTCGATGATTCAATAAAAACATCGAAATTCATAAGAGCAAACTATTTCTCATCCAATTAATTATCGATATTCAAGTTGACTATTTTCGATTTTATCTTAATTTCTAATATTTGCTTTATTGAGGAAAAGATCACGCATATTTAATAGATTCTAACACTTATTGCTTTTTCATATAATCTTACCTTCGTATTTCTACTCAACAAACTTCTAAAAATTAATCTACAATCAAAATATTATTAGTAAGAAACATGTAATATTAATGATACTTACGTCAATGTAACTATGATGAGAATATCCAGAAATATGATACTATTTTATTCGTTTGGGAATAGTAGGGAGTAAGTTGAGGAATCAAATGGATTCTTTTCATGATTAATTTTTTCGAGAACAAATTATATCTTCTAGATTTATTTTCATTATTAAATAACAAAGCTCTGTTTTATATCAAAAGAAATATATCCTATGAAATTTTTCTTTCAGTCAAGCTTGAAAGTTCTTTTTACCTTTGTATTATAATTGTTTATTCTTAGTAGTTTAAACCATATATCTTTATCTTATATCGTTCTATAATAATTTAATTATCAATAAGTGACCATATAAAAGTATAGAATCTCTATTTCAAAAAAACAAAATAACTGTAATTCACTTACGTCGAAAAGAAAATTTCGATTTAAAATAATTCGATTGACTAAATCCCCTCTAGTTTACTTCATAAACTAATATCTCTATTCATTCAACACAATAATATAAAAGAAAAAAAAATCTTATTATAAAAAAAAAATTCCATTGATTAAAGACAAAGTATCCTCTTTCTTATTAACAATATCTTTTGTCGTCATATTAAGATGACTGAAGACAATTAGAGAAGATTAACATTTATAAAAGATATCTTAGTTGTAAATTAATCTATGAAAAATATGAATATAATAAATAATTATCATTTATTTTTCCTATTGAATACTTCCATTAGTAGGTTTTAAATGAATTGCTTTTTTACCTTCGCATCTGTTAAAATCTTATACAATACTTATTTCTACTAACAAAATGAAGAAAAAAAAGAAATATTCTATTGTCATGACTATACATCAAGTAATAGAAGTTATATACAAATTATTCTAGAAAGAAAAAGAAATAGTTGCCTATATCACTCACAGCAAATAGTAAAAATAAAACTAACAAGTGTATAGAAATTTTATTCATAAAAAAAATGTTAGTTGTGCTTATTATGAAATAAAAGCAAATACTAGTTGAAAGAAATTCATTAGTATGCCATGTCTTAAATTATTATAAACGTCTATAGTCGTAATACAATAAAGCACGTTCCGACATAAAAATCCTTCCGTCGTTTTCTTTTCTACGTAAAAACCTTTTCTAAGGCATTGATTTTCATTAATAGGAAAAAACTAAAGAATTCAACCTTTACGCTATGTTGACTTATCTACTTAAAATTATATATAAACAGACAATACAAAGAATAGTTCATTTAAATTTTCTTTCAAGTTATGCACGACAAACTTACAATTAACATATACTTACTTTACTAAAGCAATTCATATTTAGAATTCTCAATTATATAATAAAAAGCTAAAAAAAACAAAAATTAACTAATTATTCTATATATAAATACCTTTAATATCATATTTAATTCAAATAGATATATATATATCTTTGATGATCATTAAATTTTTTCATGCTCATTTAAAATAGATCCAATTATTGACATTTATCTACAACAATAATAACAATATCAATGAGTAAACTTTCTTATGTCAATATGGTATATATATATATATATATATATATCTAACAGAACTTAAGAAAAAAAATTGGTCATTCTATATTTTGGCTGACTCTCATTATTATTCTAATGTCGATTATTGTTATCTTTTTGGCTTGTGAGAGAAAAAATATTGTTTTGTATAGTAACTAGTTGATGACTAGATTTTTTTTGTTAAAACAAATCAATAGAAATATATGATGCAAAAAAAGCGATTTGATGTAAGACATATTTCTGTTTGACATTTAATAAATGGATCGTTAATACGATTTCCGATCAATTAATAAAATGCCATTTCCTACAATTTAAACTACTATTCTTTTCTTAATAAAAAAAAACGACAACTATATGTTCTCTTACTACTCTGGTGTTTGTAATAAAGATTAAAAATAAATTATTGATGAACAGAGAAATAATAGATAATAATTATCATTTAATAGAATAGTTTATTTCATTGTGGCGTAAATGACAAAAAAAACTAGTAGTCAATATATATTATTGCTATATTAAAAGCAATTATGTCTTATGATAATAAATAACAAAAACAGATAATCAATCTTTTTTGACAATCGGAAGAATAAATTTGTTCGAGGTAACAAAGTTTATCGGAATATATTGATCTTATCGGAATATATTGATCTTATCAATAGAATATATATTCAGTATACAAAACTAATTTACATACTTTCTTTGAGTAAATATTGACTAATAATATGTCATTTGAGATATATTTTTCACATTAGAAGAAGAAGTAAATATCGGCACTTTTAATTTTCAAATATTTTCCGTTGTTCTTCAATTATTAGAAAAGAAAATATACGAGAAGAAATAATGCATATGAATATTTAACAAAACCTGTCGCGGATAAACAGTGTCACTTGATGAATAAATAAATAGTTTCATCTATTTCACATCGCAATATCATAGATATTTTTCTTTTTGTTTTTTGTAAAAAATATCATGAAATATCTTCATCTTTTTAATTTCTATTTATAAATATTAGCTAGACAGATATGTAATAGCTATATATAGTTTTGAACAAGGTATATATCATGAGAGGCTTTCTAAGAAGAAGAGATATACGGTAGAATGATTTCTATATATGTAAACAGAACTTTTTTTTTTATCGAATCGTTGAATTGAAAATATCATTAGTAACTGAAACTGACAAAAGAAAATTGTATTCAAGTTGTAGTTTCATTAATAAAAGGAAGTTTCTGTTCTTGCAAGTATACAGTACTTTCAATCAAGCAAACTAATTGATAAATTTTATACATTTGATGTGGAGAACACACTCTGAAACGGAAGAGTCTTTCGTTTGTTTTAATTCAAAGAAAAGAAATTACTAATTAAAGATATATTACAAAAAAAAAACTTTTGAAAAGCATTACATAATAAACATTCTTATTTAATACTTATCAAAACCTAAGAAGGTAATTGTAAATCATTGAAGTAATCACTATTTTACATATGTCGTTTCCAAATATTTTGAATAAATTGTTCGAAAAACAAATTAATTATATCTTATCATATGGATATTATACCTTCACTTTGATTTACTAGAAAAAAATTTCATCAGGTAGACTTTCATATCTATATGAAGGTTATTAAATAAAATTCGTATAATATTTCCCAATTGCATGAAATTTTGGTTTGCCTTATTTATTCCAATCATATTACTAATAATTAATTTTACAATTAATTTGCTACTGAACAAGTCGGACAATAGACATGGACTACAAATATCAGTATTCTTGTCGATTGTATAGTCACAAGATACTCAACATTAAATAACAGTATAAAACAAAATATTATTCAAGCAGTTAACAGTTATTCTATGTCTCAATAACTGAGAGGTTTAACTGTAATTTTCTTTCCAATTTAATTGATCTTTAAGTTTTCATTTTGTGTATAACACTTTTCATTCTTCATGTATTATATTCTGACAAATACGTTGTAGGTAACCGTCAGCATCTTTCAATGAACGATAGTTTTAAATAAAATATATTATATGATATTGAAAATAGTTTAATAATAGGTTGAGTTACAACGAATAAATTTGTTTTCAAAATATTTCTTTATTTATATGTCGAAAAAAAATCGAATATATTTTTAAATTTTTTGTATATTACGTAAATATCTATATAACATCTTGGAGTAGTTGACTCTGCAATGAAATTCGATGGTCTCTTTCAATCAATCGACCATCATACTCGTTTCATTGTCATTGGTTTAAAAATATCTATTGAGAATTGATTTTGATTTTTATGAAATATTATCAAAGAATTGAATGATTAAAAAATTAATTAGATTTAAGAGAAATTTTTTCAAAAGAAAATTTCAAATTCTTGATTCAATAGAGGTCGACACATAACTTTGAAACGGTTCATGATTCATCGTGTGTCTTTTTATTGTCGATAAAGATTTGTTAGTTGTTTATTTGTGAGAAATACAAAAAGAGAAATAATGTCTGCTATCGCTCTCGAACAAGCAACAGGTGGATTTAACTTTGATAATTGTCGACGGTATTAATTAATTTATTTTCTTTTCTCATTCATTTTCTATTTTTTTAATTTATACAGAAATGAACTTTTACTAAGTAATGGTGTTTTACCCGGTAAAATCCATAAAACTGGTACAACTATTGCTGCTCTTACCTATAAAGTAT